CGATCCCTCCCCTGCCTCCACTAACCCACTGTCAATACCGCGATCCCTCCCCTGCCACCACTAACCCAGTGTCAATACCACGATCCCACCTCTACCACCACTAACCCACTGTCAATACCACGATCCCACCTCTACCACCACTAACCCACTGTCAATACCATGATCCCTCCCCTGCCACCACTAACCCACTGTCAATACCACGATCCCACCCCTACCACCACTAACCCGCTGTCAATACCACGATCCCTCCCCTGCCTCCACTAACCCGCTGTCAATACCACGATCCCACCTCTACCACCACTAACCCACTGTCAATACCGCGATCCCTCCCCTGCCACCACTAACCCACTGTCAATACCGTGATCCCTCCCCTGCCACCACTAACCCACTGTCAATACCATGATCCCACCTCTACCACCACTAACCCACTGTCAATACCACGATCCCTCCCCTGCCACCACTAACCCAAGGTTAATACCACTATCCCTTCCCTGCCACCACTAACCCACTGTCAATACCGCGATCCCTCCCCTGCCACCACTAACCCACTGTCAATACCACGATCCCTCCCCTGCCACCACTAACCCACTGTCAATACCGTGATCCCTCCCCTGCCACCACTAACCCACTGTCAATACCACAATCCCACTGCTGCCACCACTAACCCACTTCTGACACCGATGTCCCACCGTCAATGCCACCCTCCCATCTCTGCCACTGCTAACCCCCGCCCAACCCCAGTTCTGTTGGTGACGCCTCTATTCCACTAGTGCGCACGGAGCCCAGTGCCCCCTCTGCCAGGTGCCCGCACCCTCCGTTGGGCCCCTCCCCACGGTACTCACGGCCCCACGTTGGACTGGATGGTACTGCCGTCGGAGCAGAGCAGCCGGATCCCGTTCAGCGCCGTGTCGTCCCCGGCGAGCTGGGGCAGCTCCACCTGCAACGGGGCATTGGGGGGAACAAGCCTGGGCATTAGAGACTGGTCCCCCATCAAGGAGATGGGGGGCAGAGGGGCGTGGGGAGTGGGAAATTGAGCAGAGGGGCTCAGGGCTGTGGGTAGGGGGATCCGGGTTGGGAAGGAGGGCAGGGGCAGGGGAAGCTGGGCTGGGGAAGGGGCAGGGGATCTGGGGAGGGTGAAGGGGGCAGGGACTGGGGCAGGGGGGAGCCGGGCTGGGGAAGGAGGCAGGGGATGTGGGGAGGGCAGGGGGGAGCCGGGCTGGCGAGTGTGAATCTTTACCTTCAGGGAGAACCCAACGGCGAAGCTGTTGCCGGGGCAGGACTGTTCCTCGCCCCACGTGCCCCATATCCCCCCATTGCTAACGTGGATCTTGGTCTGGCCCCATGCGCCCCACAGGCAGCAGCCGAGCAGAAGGCCGAGCGTGGCGTGCAGGGAGCTGTCCATGGCTGGGTAGGCGAGCGGAGGAAGCCAGCAGCAGATGTGCAGCTCCTGGCACGGGGCAGGGGTGTTTTATACCCGGGGGTGTGGGCTGGGCTGGGTTCCAGCCTGTGTGGGCAGTGCAAAGGGGTCGGTCTTGCCTTCTCTCGGCATGGGGTCAGGGCTATAATTAGGTTAATCCTGCCCCCGACTACCTCGGGGCGCATGATGCAAGGTTCCTACCGCCACACACCTAGGGTTCTGCTGCCTCATCGGCCCAAATCTCCCAGAGCAAACACGTAATGTGACAACACCTCTGACCTCACGCCAAACGATTCAACCATCCCCGCTGACACCGGGGTGCCTTTATGGGGCCAGCATCCCGCTGTTACCACTTTGGATGTCATATCCCAACGCTCACACCACTATGCTGTTACGGTGCCAGGATCCCACCACTGACTCTACTGTTACCACTTTGGACGTAGTATCCCACCGCTAACACCACTATGCCGTTACGACACCAGGATCCCACTGTTAACACTTCAGTGGGAAATAAGGCGTGGGAACGAGGGAGAGGCCGGGTGCCCGGTTCAGAGCGATGTGGATCACAACCCAATACTGTGGTTTGAATGCGGCTAAATGCCACTGTACACAACATGGAACGAGGCGCGTCAGCCGTACACGGGCCGGGGAGTCTCTCCTGGGGAGCAGCGACTCTGAAGCAGATTTGGGGGGCGGGGAGGGTAATCAGCGGAACGTGAGCTCCCGGGGGGACGCTGTGACCAGAAGGGCGAACGCCATCCCAGGCTGCGTAAGCGGGAATCTCGCGTAGGGTCAGAGAGGCGATTTCACTGCTGGATCGGGCCCAGACGCTGCCCACAGTTCCGGCCGGAGGGTGATTCCATCGGAGAGGGGTCAGAGAGGAGCCAGGAGAAGGATTAAAAACCCTGCCTGCGAGTGAGAGACTCCAGGAGCTCAGTTAGCGTAACGAAGAGGCGGCGAAGGGGTGACGGATCCCGGGCTGTAAGTACCGACGCGGGGAGCGAATGTTTCACTGGCAGAGGCAGGTCTAACCCGGTCGAGGGCCGGGAGTTGGAACCAGATGAATTCGGACTGGAAACAAGATGGAAAACGTCTAACAGTGAGGGGGGCTTGTCCCCAGGTTCGCGGTGGAGTCGCGGTCAGTGACAAGTGTTAAACCCGTCTGAGCTAGGGAAGGGCGGTGAGGCCAGGCAGCGTGGATTCGCCGCGGGGTTAGGGCAGCTAGGGGTGGCTGTGACGAGCCAGGCTGGAGTCGGTCTTTCCTGGCAGAAGCAATGACGCTTGTTTTCTGTGGCCTCCAGGAGGCCTGTCTCGGTTTGGCCCCATGTGGTCGTGGCCGGGGCACCAGCAGGGCTTCAAAGCCCATCTGCTCACGCCCAGGCCTGCAGCCCCTACCGCTCATTATGAGTTAATTGTCTGTGTACCTCTGGGGTCATTTCCAGAGCCAGGCAGCCGTCAGGGGTGACTTCCATCGATGTCTCCCTCACGGGGGTGGGGGTCTTCACTCCCATGCACCCGCTGGGTGGCGATGCATAATAAATTGGGGAAACTGAGTCACGCCACTGGTTCACACTGAGATTGCCACAATCCCTGAGTTCTCCACACCTGACATATTATCTCCCCTTTTGGATGGCGGCTGCCCCACCTTCCCAGTCCACACAGATCTCAGCGTCATTCCTTATAATTATAGGCCTGTTCGTCTGACACAGATCCAGGGCGAGATAATGGAGCAGCTGATAGGGGGAGTCAATTAATAAGGAATTAAGGGAGTGTAATGTAATGAATGCCGTTCAGCGGGCTGGGTGGAGAATGGGGCCTTTTGTCAGAGCGGTTACAAAATTGGGTGATTAAGATAATAGCGCTGCTGTAATAACCGTAGATGTCTGGGAGGCGTCTGACTGCGTGCTGCACGGCATCCGGATTGAAAAACTAGACCGGCCTCAAATGAACATAGGAAATGGATTCAAAACCGGCTAACTGATGGCTCTCCGAACGGAATCGGAAATGGGACATCGTCAGCGAGCCGCGGTGTTTCCTTGGGCTCCGGCAGGGCTCAGTTCCTGGCACGACGCTGGTTAACTGCTTTATCGAAGAGTCGGAAGAAAACATAAAATCACCCTGAGAAAGTTTGCAGATGACCCAAAGAATCAGGGGAATGGGGAATAAGGAAGAGGCCGGGGCACTGGTCCAGAGCGATGTGGGTCACAATTCATCGATGGCTGTTAGCCAGGCTGGGCAGGGATGGTGTCCCTGGCCTCTGTTTGCCAGGAGCTGGGAATGGGTGACAGGGGATGGATCACTTGGTGATTATCTGTTCTGTTCATTCCCTCTGGGGCACCTGGCATTGGCCACTGTCTCTCGCCATAACAAAGAGATGGCTAAGGGGTGGCTCGATCCCAGTCTGTCAGTACCTACGCGGGGAGCAAATATTACCCCCTTTCTGCTACAAACTGGTGTATTTCACGCTCTAGACCCCAGCCCTGGAACAGCGCCTGACGCCGTTCCCCTCCATCGGAAATCTCACCCGGACACCAGTGCCCCCTGTCCAGGGAGCGACTCGGCCCCCGGTCCAAGTTGAAATCTGACCTCCTCGTGCCAACAGCTTCCCCCAACAGGCGTCTGCATCACCAACGTCACTAAGAGCCATGCAGCATTTCTCCCAAGCCTCAGCATCCGCTCGCACGCAACGAACTTCCCAGAGGAACAGCCTGGTTGATGCCACACGGGGTTTTTTCCCCAAGTTTTCCTACCATTGCACCGTGTGGCCTTGAAACCGCCGCTCCGGGCAGTGAAGTGCCCCATATATTGTTGCTAGGGCCCCCCAGGGCCAGGCACAGTGAGCCAACGCCCCTCTCCCATCCTCGAAAGCCGTCCTGAATGGACATCAGGGAGGCGACCGCTCTGCGGGGGGATGGGCGTGGAAGGGGTGGACTGGTGCTGGGATCGGTTAACGTGACCGGCCGTGTTCAGGGCTGGGCGCTGGGGAGGCCGGGGCCGGTGGGGAGAAGCGGGAGCAGGGCTGGGGCTGGAGCAGAGGCTGTGACAGACGCCCGGGAGGATTGCAGCCACGTCCCACGCGATGGGGAGAGACACCCCGGATGCCTGGAATGTGCGTGACACCCCGGTGCCAACCTCGGCCGCCTGGCGGGCGTCGTTAGGGGCTGGCTGACGATGATCCTGCCCCGGGCCCAGCCTGGTGGTGAAACGACGCTTCCTCCAGGAACTGGAGTCACTCGGCTAATTAACGCAGCCAGGAACAAGCCCGGAGAAGCTGCAGGGCGTGGCGCAAGACCAGGGACCGGTCCGACCGGGTTCCAGATGCCGGGCCAGCGAAGCAGGAGAGCCAGCGGAGAGCAAGCCCTGGCCTGGGGCCGGATGGGAGCCAGCACCCCTTAGAGGGGACAGGCCCTGTGCCCCATTCCCTGCCCCCCGAGCCAGCCAGTCCCTGCTTGTGCTGGCCTGAGGAGCCCACTGTGAAATATTTGTCTCCCTCTATGTTCACTGTAACGCTTTATCCCGCGGCTTTGGTGCGTTCGGATGAGGTTCTTGATGTCGATCTTTAATTGACCTGTTTTATGCCAACTCTGTTTACCGGCACGTTTGGGTTCGCGGGTGTGGTTAGAGGTTGATAGATGTTGGGCTGCGTGGATGTGTCGCCCTAGCCCTGCACAGACCTCGAGTGAACCGCCCAATGACTGCAAGATCCGTTAAGGAACAAAGGCGCCCAGCCAGGTTTATTGTCGACGAAGCATAGTACTAATATCCCGCTGACGCTACCGGACCATTAATACATGTATGCCTGTAACAATGACCAGCTCAGTGAACGGCAGGACTTTCTGTTCCTCCCTAGGCCAGACAAAGACACTCCCTCTGAGTTACAACTTTGTACCCCGATATAAACAAGTTACAAACTGCCTCTGACATAGTTCGTTACTTCCTCCTGACATGGCCAGTTATCACCCATCACCTTGTACATGTTGGTTCGAACAAAATATCTCTATTATGTTCTGTCATCCTGACCTTATCTTTGAGGAAGGGACTGTGTGTTCCTGTTATCCTTGGGGAATGTTTTTCTCCCATCCTTGATATCCGGATGTTCTGATACCACTTGATATCGGGAGGTGTTCGTGTCAGTGCTCTGTGACTAGCACTTCTGAGGAATGTGAATTTCTGCAATATCAGCCCTGTTCTTGCCAAATTCTGTGAGCAGGTCCTGCCTCATACCAGGCCTCTGATACATGGGCTTATGTCTCCGACTCTCTTCCTAGCACCTCCGTTCACAAACAATGCACTGTCTCACCCCCTGCGCGGTCCTGCTCGTGCTTACGCTGTGAAGCGTCATCAGACCCTTCGAAATCGAAGCTGCCCGTCGCTCCCTCCCGTTCTCAAAGCACTTTACCAAAGAGGGGAACAACATTCTCCCCATGGGGAAACTGAGGCAAAGCAGAGTCATAGAATCAGAGAACTAGAAGGGACCTCGTGAGGTCTCTAGTCCTGTCCCCTGCACTCGTGGCAGGACTAAGTATTATCTAGACCAGCCCTTACAGGTGTTTGTCCAACCGGATCTTAAAAATCCCCAACGATGGAGATTCTACAACCTCCCTGGGCAATTTATTCCAGTGCTTAGCCCCCCTGAAAGGAAGTTTTTCCTAATGTCCAACCTAAACCGCCCTGGCTGCAATTTAAGCCCATTGCTTCTTACCCTGTCC